CAGGGAGGGCCGCTCTGTGTGTTGTTGGATGCTTAGGACTTCCCTGGCTTCAACTTGCTCAGTGCCAGACACGGCTACCCAGCAGCAGTCACCTGAACTGTCTCCAGGCACTGCCACCTGGGGAACACGCCCTCCCTGGTTGAAAAGCCAGCACGGAGCAATTGTTTGGGGGTGTAGGAGCTGCCCAGTGCCTGATGGCAATGGTGCTTGCGCAAGTCTGCACCTGTGCTGACGTGGGCTTGCATGCCTTGCTTCATTGTGTGTTCATTTAAGAGCTAAAATGTAAAAGGCAGAAAAATGAACGTTAATCCTATCAGGCAATCTGGCAGGAAAGTCAAGAATCCCACCAAAGAAGGAACTGATGACCCAACTTGCCCATACATCAGACTAGACAGTGCCACCCCACTCCAGGAGCAGAGGGCTCCCCCGCCCCCAGCCCAACCCATCTGTCCCTACCCTAAGGAGAATTCCTTAGCAAATAAAATACGCCAGCTAGATATAAAGTATTATTTCTTAAGAGTTTCTTATTTGAAAGAATCACATATATATACACATATATTCCCCAAGAAATAGGGTCATAACACATGCTGTGTTCCAGCAGCCAGGCCAGGGCCGGGCTGGAGCTGGGAGCTTAGCATTGCAGCTGGGACTCCACAGGGGTAACAGGGACCCCAGCACCTGGGCCGTCTGCTGCCTTCCCACGTGCATTAGCAGGGGAGCCAAGACTCCAGTGTGGGGAGTGGGTAATCCAAGTGGTGACTTGCTAAGTCACAACACCCGCCTTAAATTACAATATTAGAATACAGGTAATTGCTCATTTTAACTATATCCCATTTATTGCAAACCTTTATTTAGCTAAAATTCAGATTTCAGCTTGGTATCCTTTTTTTTTTATTCATAAAATTTGGCAATTGGGAAAATCTTCAGATTTTTTTTTAAAGCTTACTCTCAGCTACCATGTAAAACTTTCCCAGCTTTCCAAAGTTGTACATTTTGTATGTTTTGTCTTACTCCTTAGGCTAATCAGTACACTCTCTCAGTACTATGCCTTACACCATGTTACCTCTACCCTTGCTATGACTCATGTGAAAGACAAGTACTCAGATTAAATGACTGCACAGGCGGACTAGAGCTGAAGTTGTCTGGCCCTCCACACAGGCACTGGGTACTGTGTGCTCTGCTCCTCTGCAGCCCATGCAGGGATTTCCTGTCCCTCATCCTCCCCAGAACCCTGGCTTGCTCAGTTTCTGCTAGCTCTGAACTCGACTTGTTCGAACTTGGGGTAAAATTGGCGAGGGCAGCCTTTAGGCTGGAGGTGGCCATGTGTCTGGTTGATGGGGGGATCAGCCCATGTGCACATCACAAACAATTTCATGTGGAATTACCCATGCTTGCATGTGGGTGCCAGCTGCACGGGGTGGATGAATTCCTAAGGCCATGTGCTGGGTTTGATCTTCTGCTGCCACTGGTTTTGTTCTGCACTGTGCTGTGAATTCTGTGTCCACTCCCAGTGTCCAGGCATGTACAAGGGGCTGTTCCCCAAAATGGGTTCTGAGTGGGGGATTCCTGTTTGCAGCCACAAGGCCACATAACCTCCAACACTACGGGAGAAACCTCGAGTTGAGGGCAGGGGCTTACCCAGCTCAACGTCTTTTCTCCATATCATTCCAATAACTGTGGTTGAGTATTTGAACTTCTGAGGACAGCCAGGCAGAAAAGAGGGCTGGTCCTGGGAGAGAACCGTCCTTGTGGCCCTCAGCTTGCCAGTTCACTGTGGCTTGGTGCTCATGAGTGGCTCCTGTCCCACGTTGAACAGCCTTCCACCCTGCTTGGCTCCAACTATGTCTGTAGGCATGCAAGGCGGTCCAGGAGGAGGCCTGGGCATGCTCAGAGCCCTGCAGCAGGCTGGCTGGGGCATGGGTGCTGGTGCTCCACAGGACAGCATTCATGTCCTGCCTCTGCTGCTGGCTGGCTAGAGGTCTCAGTCCCCCAGAGTCTTGCTGCTTTTTTGAGAGTGAAGTGCTGGGATGTGCACCCTCCGGAGCTGGGTGTAGGCCCCAGTCTCCCAAGGGTTAACTCCACAGCTTAGCTTGGTTCTCAAGGTGTAACAGGAAGGGCAATCATGGCCTGATACATTTAGCCCCTGGCTTGACTGCAATTTCCCTCCTTCCTGCTTCCCCTTTTTGCACATCCTCGGGGGAGCTTAGGTGTTGCTTAAGCATTGGGAAAGTGCTGGGAGGGACCAAATAGACTATAAAAGAGCAGTTTGACTTTGAATAAAGGGCTTCACTTCACAAGAATGAGCCTCTGTGTGTTGTGTGTGTTGTCTGTCTTGTCTGTCTCATAACCCTAGTCCCTCCGCTCGGCTCGGGGTACGTGGCAACGTGGGCATTGCCAACAGCTGGGTTGAGCACAGGATGGTTGGCTGTTGGCAATGCATTTAGTAGGTCATCATCCAGAGCCCCCGGCGTCACCTGGAAGGCTGGGGCAGAGCTGCCTGTGGGACATTGGGGCTGGCTACTCAGTCAGAAGGGAATAGCTGCATCCCCAGTTACCAGATGAGGACACTGGGGCACTGTTGGCAGCCTCACCTCTCTCAGGCCACACACCCAGTAACAGGTGCAGGTTTGCACCTCGATATTCTCTTCCTTCCCTGGACGTGGTTGTCCCAGCTACTGCGAGAGCAAGGTAGACACCCTGGCCCAGAGGTGCAGAGGGGCTGTTGGCAGAGCTGGGCTCTCCAGTTTCTGGATCAGCATCAGGCTTCCAGGCCAGGCAATTTTATTTTACCCTAAAAGCCTTCCAGGCAGAAACACAATTCCTGGGGCTCAGCTTTAATGGGTTCTTTTATAGAATCGTGCAAATTATGGACTGATTAACTCAAAGAAACCCCACACAAGAATGCAGGAAAGCCCAATGCTAACAGGGAAAATAGCAAAGCAGGGGGGAATTTGTTTTAAATGTTAATTGGTGAAAAATGGAGGTGAAGCCCCAGTGTGACACTGGTCTTGGAGGCTGGCTGTCTTGACTTCTGGCCCATCTGGGGGGCTCAGGTGAAGTTGGTTCCAGATGTGGCTCCCCCCCCCACAAGTCATGGCTGCTACAGGCCACCAGCCCTATTTGCTGGCCCCGCTCCCTGAGCCAGGATGTCCTGACTGTAGTGGTTAGACAGCCTGGCTCAGTTAGCCTGGTCTGGTCTCGGATTCTGCTTGTTGCTTCTCACTGGGTTGATGGGTCGCTCAGCCTCTCTGGGCTTGTTCTGTTGTGAGGGGCAGACTTTGGAATACTCCTCGACATAATATGAAACATGTTTTCCAATAGCTCATCATCGTCAAAGGGATGGATGGATGGGAGGTCAGATGGGTAAATGGATAGATGAATGGAGAGATGGGGGTGGATGGAAAGATGGACAGGTGGGTAGATGGATGGACAAATGGCTGAATCTGTGGACAGATGGACAGAGTCCCTTCTTGGTGTCACTGGCAGAACACGGCATAGACTGTTTCTTCCACTGCCTCCTTGGTCTCTGAGACCCTACATTCTCCTGATGTCCCCCTTCCTCCATCCTGGTCTTTTAGTACTGGGCACTGCTGTGCAGTTGTGGCCATGTTGGCCTGACCTCCCTGACATCTGAGACACCTGGACCCCTCCCTCAACTGCCTGTCCAGCGACCTGCTCCTCCCATATAAGCCTGCTCAGCCTCCCATCTTCAAACCCCATCTCCCTGGGGACACCCATGTGCACGTTGCTCTGGCCAGACCACTGCCCCAAGCTGGCTTTTCTGGAGCACTGCTGGCAGCTGCATTTGCCCTGTGACAGATGTAGGCTTTGGAGCCCAGGAAGGATGGCCTGGGACCTGCTTACTGCTTCCGCAGGCCTGCCAAGCACGGGCTCTGGATGCCCTGCCAGGGTCCCTGGGCGTCAGAGAGGTATTTCCAACTATGGCTGCTGAACCAACGTGGACTTGGTTGGATGATTTACTTCCCCACCTTGGTCAACTCTCCTCCCTATACCCCGGCCCCTTTCTCAGTTCCATGGGACCCTCTCTGCAAATCTGATCAATTTCCTTTCAAAATCCACCCAAAAGTCATCCTGGGCCTGTTCAGGGCTATGTCAGTTGTCCTTTGGTTGCCCAGGACTTCACTGGGTGAAGGGCACACATCTAAACTGAGAGTTAATGGCAGAATAAAGTCTCAAGGTGTATTTCTAAAGGCACTGTGATCATTTCTCTTTGACTTCATGCCAGCCTTGCTCCGGTACCATGGGGTCTCATCTCCCTACTTCCGACTCAACTCTTGCTATCCATCTCCAGGGGACAGCCAGAGGTGGTCCCTGCCCTCGCAGCATCCTTGGGAAGTCACGTCCCAAGTCCCAGTGGCAGGATGCATGACTACAGCATGCGATTGGCTATACTTCTGATAGCCAGAGGCTCAATTTCTTCATCAAGACACATCCTGGGGCTCTGGGTAGACGTGGGTTCTAGGGATATGAACCAAGCCAGTTAACAACCCTCAGGAGATACCTGCTGGGTCTGAGACTGCCCCTGCCAGCTGCCTTCCTTGCCCCCATCACTCCTCTGCCCCCTCTGCCTCCTCACTCTTCCCCAGCCTCGAGTGCTCACAAGGCCCCTGTGTGGTCAGCTGGGTCCTTAGCCATGGTCCCCGCCTTCCTTGGCATGAAGCAGGGTTATGTCCCACGCTTTGAAATGAGGTGGGTTAGACTTGGATCTCACCAGTTCAAGACTGTCTGGCTCGGTGTGGCTCCCTGTCCCTCCCTAGTTCTGTGTTGCGCTGCACACATTTGTGTCTTTGTGGGATCCCTGCCGGAAGCATGGGAGCCTGGAGAATTGTTGTTTCTTGTTCTGTGGTCAGCTGCATTCCATGTGCCTTCAGCAGCTCCTGGCCCTGCTGGGTGGCCAGTGTGCATGTGTGGACGTGTGGTGAGGTGTGTACAGCCTTCCCCTAACTGCTTTTTGTTGCTCTTAACTGTTTCCGCTCTAGGGCAGAGCATCAACCCCAAGTTGGCAGGCCTGATCGGGCGGCAGGGGAACCAGAACAATCAGTCTTTCATGGTGGCGTTCTTCATGGCCATGGCGGTCCACTTGCGAAGCATCTGCTCCACAGGGGGCAAGCAGCACAGCCAGAACTGCTCCAAGCCACCCAAGAACCAGGAGGTCCTGAGGGTGACCAATGTGGCGGGTATGACACAACTCCCTGCGACGCCTGGAGGAGGAGGGCTTGGAAATCTGTGCAGGGGCTCCCCAGAGCTGCTGCCCCTCCTGCTCAGAGCTCACCATCTTCATTCTGTAGAAACAGCGCACTCATTTGAAACACAAGGAGTAAACCCTCGATCATGTGTTGGCCACACGATGTGAAGGAGGCCTGTGTGGGGAGATGGCAGTGGGATGCCTTGGGAGGAAGAAGGGGCTTGCGAAGCAGCTGACACCTGTGGCAGATTCCGGCACCTGCTAAGTATGGCTGGGAGGGCTTTCTGGTACCTGTTTTGGGGGAATATGTGAAGGTTTGCTTTACTGTAATTTTCAAATTTAGAAAGGTAACTTCTCATTGCACACAGTTCCAGGATAAACACAGGCAGAGCTTGGCAGCATGTGCACCCTGTAGTTCTTTCTTTTGCAAGATTTGATTTATTTGGAAGGCAGAGTAACCATAAAAAAGGAGCACACACAGACACACACACACCATTTCACTTTCTACATGGTTGCACCCATTGCAATTGGGGCCTTATGTGGGTGGGCAGGAGACCAAGGACTTCGTCCTCTGGTGCTTTCCCATGCACATTAACAGGACGTTAGACTGGACATGGAGCTGCCAGGAGTTGAACCTATGCTCCAGTATGGATACCGTTGTCACTGACGGCAGTCTGATACACTGCACCGCCATGTGAGCCAGGCTCTGCAGTTCTTGAGTCTCCTGTTGTACAGAGGGTGCAGGGAGCTGGTCCGAGAGCACAGAGCAAGCCTGCAGCGGCTCGGGATGGGTGCCCCGAGCCCGGGCAGTCCACCAGCCTCCCTACAACCCTGATTCTGCGGAGGCTTGGCGGGGTGTGGTCCTTCCCCAGCAGACCAGTTGGGCACTTGGATACCCCTGGTAGACTGAGGTTGCTAGGTTGCATTCAGATCTTGAGTTTGGGGGCCAAGGTATGGGTACAGCCTTCCTGCACCAGGGTCAGCTGAGGCCTCTTCCCCCAGCACCTGTCTGTCCTGCTCTGTAAGGGTCAGTGCCCCCATTTGTCCGAGATGCATTTGATTCTTCCAGGGGACTGGAGATAAGGCTTTCAGTAGATTATTGCCTCCCTGCAGTCCGCTTCCCAGGGGACTTCACAGACGAGCAGCTGGATCAAGGCTGTCCTGCGTGTGGCTCTACACATCCCTCACCCCTAGTTCAGGGAATGGCCACCTGGGGCTCTTGGTCCTAATTCCTGGGAAGTTGTGTGAGAACAACCAGAATAACAGCGCTGAGTTGTGTCTCTGTGCTCGTCTGTGGAGCCCGTGAACACACTGCTGTACCGGGCAAGGCAGTTAATGCTGCCTGTGGAGTTGTCTTTCAGCTGACCTTGAAATCAGCTCTGGTCACCCAGGCAGATCCAGACGATCCTGGAGTCTGGTACCTTTCTCGGAGAGCACAGTTCCTCCCCGTGATCAGAGATGTGAGAGTGCGGGGTGCTGCTCTGCTGGCTGAGGCGATCATGAGGTCCTCCAGATGAGGAAGGTGGGCAGGCTCTCTCCCCTGAACCCCCTGACACTGCTGTCACCCAGTGTTGCCCAGGCCTTGGGTGGGTTCAGAGGCAGATCCTAGTCCTGCCCATGAGTTCCAGCTGAACCCGAGGCAGAGTGGGTCTGGGCACCAACCAGCTTAGCCAGCCACAGGGGGCCCTGTGCTGGCTCTAGCTCTCCCAGCTCATGGGCCTGGGGCACGGCGGGGCGGCGGAAGTGGCAGCGACAGTCCCCAGACTCCTGCCACCTCCCCTGTCATGAAATTTCTGTGCAGTTAGCTTTCCCAGGGCAAATGAGATCTGTTGTGGTTGGTCAGCTGCCCCGAATGCCCCTTGCGGGGGTCCCTGTGGCTCCAGGCTGTGGAGTAATCTAGGGGGTCTGTCCCAGCAGATGACTCTCTTGTGTTTTCAGGCTTTTCAAAAGGATCTGAAATCCCACCCCATACAATAAAAACCCACACGAGCCCTGGTTTGCGCTTGGAAGCCCTCTATGTGCTGAACCCCTGGGTGCTGAAGCAGCTGTTTCAGAGAGAGGGGCGGGGGCTGTTACTCACTTGGCCCTGAACCAGGACAGCATCTGGGGTATGGGCCCCTCTGGGGACTGCAGCTTCCTGTGGGACGTGAACAGAGAGGTGGGCACCATGAGGGCAGTGCTCAGGAAGGTGGGGTCCGAGGGGCAGAGGTTCATGGTGCAGAGGAAGGATTCCTGTCACCATTGGGGGAGGGGAGGAAGCCACAAAGGCTGAGACCAGGGAGGGGACTTGGAAGGGTGGGTGGAACCAGGCTTCCTCTTGGGGCCTGGCCACTTCACTCCACAGAAAGCGCCCACACGTCTTGGGTCTGAACTTTGTCGCGGTTAGATTCCTGTCCTGCAGGGCTCCGAGTGGGAATAGTGGGAGCAGAGCAGATGCAGGGCAACTCCAAGCCAGGGCTTTGACAGAGGTACCAGTCGCAAGTGCCGGCTAATTCCACTGCAGCCAGGTCTCTCCTGGGTCCTGGCACTCTCGCAAGGGAATGAGGGGCAAAGGGCTGCATCTGTATAGCTCCCAGCTGGGACCCTCACCACTTTGCCTGGCATCTGCCTCTTTGCTGGGCGGGTCTGCTTCCTGGCCCTGCTGCATGTTCTAAAGCCCACCTGGAAGTTTGCTTTCTTAGGGCAGTGCTGAGGCCGAGGCCCTGGGCTGGGCTTAGCCAGGCCTTGCCTGCGTGGGAGGGTGCACACAGGTGCTTGTGCCATTTGAAGTGCTCCCAGGTCACGTGACCGCCAGGAATCCTGCCGCAGGGCTACACAGGTTGACATCACTGGCTTGGTGGTGTCTGTGACGCGCAGGGGACACGTGTCCCAGCCTGTGCTGCCACCCTCACCCCGGCCCTACCTCAGAACCACTCATGTGATGGCTCAGGCTCCAGAAACTGTGGCCCTTGCCTCCCGTTGGAGCCAAAGTCCTTGTGGCCAGCAGGCCAGCCAGTTGAGCGCGGGGGCGGCAGCACAGGCCCAGTGCAGGCAGGGACTTGCTCTGGCAGGGCTTGGAGGGAGGTGAAGGAAGCAGCCTCTGGCTTCACTTCCTGCTCACCTGTTCTCTGTTGTGGGTGGGGACCGAGGAGGCTTGTGCCAGCTCCCTTTCCCTGCTTTGCCATGGGCATGAGCCCACAGAGACACAGGCGTTCCAGCCTGGTTCTGCTGGGACAGCCACGAGCCGAGGCCTGGAAGGGCTGGGTGGTAACGTCCAGGCTCCCAGCAGGTCTGCAAGCAGCTTTGTGGGCTGTTCTCTGCCCCAGGCTGCTGGGCCTCGGCTTGGACGTTGAGCCTTGCAACGCTTCTAGACTGGGTGTGGGAGACACTTGGGTACCTGAGCCGGGCCCTGGGGTGGGCTGTCCCTGCTCGACCAACCCCTGTGCACCCTCCTCCCGTTGTAACTTCCTCACACCGAGTGAGCAGCTTTTTCAGGACTGTGGGAACTGTAGATTGTTTGCTTGTTTTGTTTTTTAAGATTTATTTATTTCAAGGACCTGCCCAGTGGTTCAACTGACTAATTCTCCACCTCCAAGCTCCAGTATCCCACAGAGACACCAATTTGTGTCCTGGCTGCTCCATCTCCCATCCAACGTGCGGTCTGAATCTTTCTGTCTCTCCTCTCTCTAAATCTGTCTTTCTAATAACAATAAATAAATCTTTGTTTTAAAAAGATATCAATTTGAAAGAGTTATAGAGAGGGAGGGAGAGACAGCGAGATCTTCCATCTGCTGGTTCAGTCTTCAAATGACTGCAAAGGAAAGGGCTAAGCTGATCCAAACCTGGGAACCAAGGGCTTCTTCCACGTGGGTACAGGGACCAAAGGTTAGGGTTAGGGTTCCTCTACTGCTATCCCAGGCCATTAGAAGAGAGCTGGACTGGAAATGGAGCAGTCAGGACTAGAACCCATACCCATATGGGATGCCAGCATTGCAGGCATAGGTTTAATTTGCTATGCCATCACACCAATCCCTGCAGGCACTGTTGCCCACAGCCCCATTCCCCTGCTGTACAGTGGGCCGCCTGCCCTGCCCTGGGTCTCCAGTGGCAGGGAATGGGCTCACGGCTTAGGTCTGAGGCTCTGACATTGTCCCGGGGAGGGGAAGAGGCTGCCAGGAGGCCACCCCCACACTCCCCGAGAGAAGTCAGGGTAGCTGGGTACACCTGGCAGGGCTGGTGGGCAGGGCTAGCCTCTGTGTGCCTCTGCCCTCAGCCCCAGCCCGCCCTGCATTAGCGGCTGTTAGCATGGCCAGAGACCAGCCTTGCCCTTGCCACTGTGTGCCTGTATGTTCATGTCGCCGACAAGGGGGCACACCAGGCTTGTGGCAGCCAATGGTGACATCACAAGGCCTGTTGGCAGAGGTGGCCTTGGAAGGAAGGCTTGACTGCTGCCTGATGCAGACATGCAGAGATGATGGGCAGGGACAGCTGAGGGCATTTCAGGTGGGTAAGGGAGAAGCCAATGGCAGTTACTATGCTGTGTGTCCATATGCACACAGATTTGTGTGTGTGGAAGAGGCAGGGATCACAGCAGGTTTGCAGCTGTGCAGTCCCGGACCTAAACACTGACAGCCCGTGTCCCCGCTGGAAGACCCCAGGGTGTCCCTCATCATCCCTCAGAGAGACCTCAGGAGTGTTTGTCTAGCTCAGTGGCATTGTACTCCCACAGGGGGTGGCCTGGGGGGCACCAGGCAGGGGGAGCAGGGGCTGATCCCTGCCAGCAGCGCCCCTGCTGCCAGCAGTGGGCGGGCACGTGGGTGGAGAGCAAATCTGGGCAGGTGACGACATTCCGACACGTGTGCATTTCACAGACACCCACAGGAGGACCAGGAGGGGCTGTGAGCCAGGACTCGGTGCGAGCAGGGCAGGCACTAGGCTGGGCATTGGTCTGAAGCTGCCTTCCCAGGAGGGCTGTTGCACAGAGGGGGCCTGACCTGTGTCTTTTTCCTCCTTGGGTTCTGCTTCTTGGCCTCGTCCTCAGAAAACAGCAGCAGTGACCAGAGGCAGGCATGTAAGAAGCATGTGCTGTATGTCAGCTTCCGCGACCTGGGCTGGCAGGTAAGGGGTGTCTTGTGCGGGCTGGCGTGTCCTGCCTGGTAGAAGCCACTGGTTCCAGTCCCACGCCGAGCCCTGCCTGTGGTGCTGACAGGAGCCACAGCACGAGGGGGCCACCATGGCACATCTGCTTTGTTCGTTACTGTATTCTGCTTGTGCTGGATCCCTTGCTCAGCAGGTGTGGCTGAACCTTTGCCCTCTGATGTTGGGCCTGCATGGTGGTGCCTGGCCACAGGGGGATGGTAATGGTGAGGGCCCCTTGTGCGGGGCAGGGCCTGCGATGGGCCTCACACTGTTCTGCCTGCTGCAGGACTGGATCATCGCGCCTGAGGGCTACGCCGCCTACTACTGCGAGGAGGAGAGCACCTTCCCACTGAACTCCTACATGAACGCCACCAACCACGCCATCGTGCAGACCCTGGTAGGTGGCAAGGGGTCAGCTGAGCGTGGGCTGGGCTGCAGAGCCCCTTGGATGTGCCTCCATGGAGGGAGGAAGGTTAGATTGACAGCTGACCCGAGGCTGCTGTGTGAATTTCATGGGCATCCTTGCACGATTTTTTTTTTAAAAATCACATTTTATGCATTAATTGGCATAAAGGTGAATATGGTCTTGACTGGAGTTCTTGTTGCAAAAGAAGCTAAACAGCTCCCTGAGCTCCTAGGAGCTCATGGGAGGGGTGGGCCCTGCTCTGTGTCAGTGTGGGGTCCATTGTCTTTGGCTGAGGGGCATATTCACCCCTCCTTCAGTCGTGGCCTCCCCACCTCCACACCTGGAGGACCTAAGAAGCAACCTGTCCCCACAGGGACAGCTTATTGGCTCCCAGTGGCGCTCGCGTGACCCCTGCAAACATCTGAGTTTGCTTGCCTCTGTGCCGCCTTCTGTACCTGTCGTAGTGGGCAAGGGTCAGGAACACCGCCTGAGGGAAGCCACTGGGTCCGACTTGCCCGACTGCTTTGGCCCCTTCCCCTCTGAAGCAGCCAGCACCCCCACTCAGCTCCCGTAGTGTGCCATCTGTGTCACCTGCGGTTTATGTGCACTAGCTGTAAGCATGGCTCGCCCTATGTCCACCATGTTCCAGGTCCACTTCATCAACCTGGACACAGTGCCCAAGCCCTGCTGCACGCCCACCCAGCTCAACGCCATCTCCGTCCTCTACTTCAACGACAGCTCCAATGTCATCCTGAAGAAATACAGAAACATGGTGGTGCAGGCCTGTGGTTGCCACTAGGCCCCACACTGCCCGGGGGAGGGGGCAGACCTGAGGGGACCGCATCTTCCCCATCCTTCTGGGGCCCTTGTCCAATGTCTCCCATGGCCTGGTGCCCCCACCACCTGCTTGGGCCAGGAGCTAGCTGACCACCTGCCTCCACAAGGCCTGCCCACCGCCCTGCAACTGCGTGCGTGAGAATGTTAAGGAACAGGAGCCTCCACCACTTTGCATCTGGTTTGTGCTGTGGGTGGTGTCCCCCGGGCAACACCCTACAAGCTGCTGCGGGCCACGTGGAGCAGGAAGACTTCCCGGTTGACCAGGCAGATTGCACGGCTGTGGCCACTGGCTGTGCAGCGCAGAGCTGTGCATGGACTAGTCCCAGAGTGAAAAGCACCCCTCAGCCAAGGCCTCCAGCAGGCAAGAAAGGAAGCGGGTGCAGCCAGGGGCACATTTTCTCTGCTCTAAGGGAAGGCTGACGTTAGACGTTCCTGTACTAAATGTCACAATAAAGCCAGTGGGTGGAAATGGTTAGGTTGTCGCAGATCTGTCTTCTTGACCCCAATTCTTGGAGTGTCCTTATCTCATAAACAGAAGCATGGCTGGAGGGAGGCAGAGAGGTGTTCTCGTTCCTAGTCCCAGCTAAACCTGAGGGAAGGAGGGAGTGTTTGCCTGGGTGCACCCCCAAAGCCAGAGTTTGGTGGGGAAGGGAAGAGGGTGAGCGTTGACTTGAGGGGGACGTGTGTTATGGCAATGGCCCGAGAAGCTAGTACCTGGCTGTCCAGTCCTCCCTGGGCCAGGCTGCGACCTGCATGCAGCTGAAGCTGGAGGGACAAAGCCCCAGGAGTCCTCACCCTCAGTAGGAAGAGGTGAACATGCTGAATGCTCCAGAAGCTTCTGGGGCTGGGCGCTGGTGGGACACCCACAGACTCCTGGGAAGGGGTTTGGCTGAGCATGTGGCTCCCTGAGGTCAGAGAGAGGCAACATGGTGGGGAGTGGCAGGAGTGCAGGGCCCACAGAACTTGGATCACCGCAGAAGGTTCTAGAAGCTATCCCAAGGACAGCTGCCCAACCAAGCAACCTGACTTGCTGATGGCATTTCTTAGCCTGTTGTGTTCAGGCAGCTTCCAGTTGCAAACAGAACAGTCACAGGAGGGTGGCCACTCCTGTGTCAGTGGAGAGAATGAGGTGGTTTGGGCAGACGGTGGCCCTGTGGGAGGAGTGCCAGGACCATTTGCTGGGGCCCTGACTCTCCTGTCTTTTTCTTCTTCAGTAGCATGGGCCACAACCCTCCCTGGGCCTGGGCATTTCAGGGAGAGTATTTATTGGTTGGGTTTATAGTTTGTTGGCAAACACGAAGCATGGCATGTGACAGATTCCCGATGCTCAGCTCTTGACCACACTGGTTGGCATCCCCTGTGTGTGCTAAACTGCGAGTCAACAGAGAAACGGATTCTTTCCGTCAGAAGCCTGTTGAGCTCGTACTCCTCCCTCCTTGTCTTCCATGTTAAGACAGTTAATTGATGGTTCGCCGTGTGTACCAGGATGCACAAGCGAAAAGTCTATGCAGAGAAGTGGCAGAGGGATTGATGGGCAGGAAAAGGGCACATTTGCCCCAGGGTCCCAAGCTTGTGTGTCTGTGCCGTGCGTGTTTGTGTGTGTCTATATGTGTCTTTACTATGTGTGTGCATGTCTGGATGTGCTGTGTGTCTGTTCATATTGTGGGTTTCTGTGTGTGTGTGTGCTGTCTAGGTGTATTGTATGTGTATGTGTTTGTTCATATTGTGGATTTCTGTGTGTACTGTGTGTGTATGTTCATATTGTCAGTTTCTCTGTGCTGTGTGTGTCTGTGTGTCAGATGTGTCTGTGTTGTGCGTGTTTCTGTGTGTTGTGAGCGCTTGCCCCAGCTGCTGGGTGCTATGCACTGTGAGCTAGCTGCTCCCCACCCCGGCCCTGGGTTGGAGCAGACACGCTGGCCAGTGTTTGCTGCAACTGTTTGGGGCTACAAACAGGAGAGATGGAACCAAATAGCAAATGTGAACTTGGTAGGCTCCACTACAAAGCTCCTTGATTGAATTACAGTACAGCTGTCAGCAGCTGTTTCAAAGCAGCAGGGGGTAGATGCGCTGTGTTTACTGCGAGCATAGCTGAGAGATTCAGTCATCCCAACAAACCAGAGGCAGGAGGGAAAGGGAAAAAAACAGGGGGGTGGGGTGGGAGAGGAGATGCGGACACCCGCACTTGAATGCCACGCAAAGCCGAGATCTTCCGCCCGGTGCAGATTGCATGGGCAGTTTGGGGGCCTCCCCTGGAACCTGGCCCTGCACGGGAAGGCCGAGGGCAGACCTGGGGACGGTGGCCAGGGCTGAGGCTGCCCAGCACTCAGAGTGCACTTGCCAGGCTGCGGACAACTGCGCTTCAGGCTTCTCGGCGCTTTGAAGCGGCCGCGGAGGTCACTCAAGGGTTGCTGTTCGGACTGCAGCCGGGCCTTGGCCACACTGCTGGCCAGCTCTCTGCGCCTCCGACGACACAGCCTCCCAAACAAGCTCCAGCCCTGCCATCTCCAAGCCCTCCAGTCACTGGCCTGATGTGCTTCCAACTTTTGTTCTTCCCAAGCTGCAGACCAGAGCGCCAAATCAGAGGTCCACATGCGGCTGCAGATGCACTTTGCCAGCATGCTTTCTGAAGAATCAGAAGAGCCGGGTGAAAAAAAAATAAAACTTCAAATCTGGCTTCTCTTGAAAAATAGCTCTGGCCACCTGGGTCCCTTTCTGGCTGGAGCAGGGGGCAGCTGGTGCCGTGGTCACCACTGCTCCCTACTGCCTCCTACAGAGGGCATGTGTGGGCTGCAATGGCTTACGTCCAGATACCCACTGACCTGTGGGCAGAGGATGCTGGGCAGACCAGCTCACCTGCTCCCTCCTGTTCAGTGCAGGAGGCACACCTGTTCAGTGCAGAGCCACACAGCCTCAACTTCAGCCTTTGCCTTTCCCTCGCCCACTCTTGGTTGGCACCTGCCCTGTCCACTTGCAGTGGCACCACTTCTGTGTTGCTTCTGCTTCCTGTCAGGTAGACAGGTGGCAGAACTTCCTACCAATCCTCCAACTGGTGGTGGCTGAAATTGGAAGTTGAACTTCCAAAAGCCCGGGTCTTGCCTGGGTTGGAATCTCTTGGGGGCTTTATGGGGAATGTGAGAATTCCTGGGCCCCAGCTCTGATCCTCCACAAGCCCCTTCACCAGGCCCCGTGCCAGTCCCTGAATAGAGGCTGTGCTCCCAGACCAGGTCCCCAGGCCTGGAAATGCCCTTCCTGCTTCCCCTGGCATCGGGCTCAGTGATGGAGCAGGGCTGATGGCCTCATCCATTGCCCTGTGCACATCCCAGTCCCTCCCTCTGCTTTCTCTCACCTGTGGGCCTGGCAGGGCACTGGCAGGTGTGGCAAGGGCTGCGAGACCTTTCTCTGCGTATGAGATTCACGTGGTATCTTTGAGCCCCTCCCTCGGCTCAGGTCCTGTGCAGAATGCACAGAGCACCTGCAGCTCCTGGGGCCGCTGGATGCAGCACTGCACACCTGTGACTTAAAGCAGTGCTGATGGAGGTGTTCACTCCTGGGAGTTGTGTCTGTAGGGACTGGCAGCCTCTCAGGGAGCCCAAGCACCCCTTGTGCCTGTCTCATGGAGGACCCTTGGTCTTGGCTTGAGGGTCTGGACAGGTGAGCGAGGCTGACCTCATCCTAACCCCTTAATTAAGAGCATCTGCAGACCTTTGTCTTGGCAAGCTTGTATGCATAATTCCTAGGCTTGCCTTTCCTCAGGCCACCGATCTGGCCATGAGGATAAGATCACCTGGTGCTCTCCCAGGCCCTGTCCCCCTTTCCCACCACCAGGGCTTTCCAACCTAGCCTCAGCTTGCTCTGACACTGCCCTGGTTGATCCATCTCTGCCAGGCTGAATTGGTGGGAGTAGTGGCTGCAGGAGTCACTCCCAGGCACTGGCCCTTCTCCATCCCTTGTTGGTCTGCACTTGCTGCCAGGGGCCACTGGCCAGGATCCACCCTCAGGAGTAGGCAGGCCAATACAAACAGATGGCCATGGCCAAGGGCGGCTGTGGAGAGCGGAGCCACGCCTCAAAGATGGCACTTGTTGGTCATTGTCTCGTGGCACAAAGGTTGTAAACAGGTTTCGGGAAGTTACTGAGGATTGGGCCGAGCATGCAGGGAAGCTACGTGACCTAAGTCATGATGGGTGTGCTTACCGCATGATGTGAGGAGCTGTGTATGGATTGGCTTGTGTAATGTAAAAAAGTTGTGGGTAAAGAAGAGTTAAAGGAAGAGATTCTCCCAGGCGCACCGCTAGAGCTAAGGCTATCGCTTCAAGGCTATTGCTAGCACTAGGCTGTAGCTGCTTTTGCTTTGCTGCAATAAATCTTACAACTGCTGTGACTACCCTTGAGTCCGCAGAAATAAACTTTTTAAAGAATCTTTACCGTATCGGGGTCTTGCTCATGGGACGAGCGACCCCGATAGGCGGCCAAACCTCCACGCCCCCTCCAGGAACAAGGTTTGCTGTGAGGACAGGATGAGCTTCCTCCTGGAAGTGCCCATGTTGCCCTCATTCATTCATTCATTCATTCAGTGTTTCCCTACACAAAGTCAGGGCACCTGCTAACAAACTAGCCAGGACCACCACCCGACACAGAGGCCCTCCCTCCTCCAGGAGGAAGTGATAAAAACCTCGTTGATGTCTCACTAGTATGGAGATGACTACAGACTACGCTGGACTGCGCCTGTTTTGTACCTTCTGATTTTTCAAGGAACTAGAATACTTTTGTGGATTCTAGGTCCTGGACCCTGGGCACTGTGGCTGCATTGTCCAATGCCAAAGCCAGGTCTGACAGTGAGCATTGACACTGAGTGATTAGGAGTGGAGAGAGGGAGCTTTCTGGACAGCAGGTTTCAGGGGTGGTGGGGGTGGAGAGGCGGGGACAGACTTCCACAGGCGGTAGCCCTTCAGTCAAGGTGTGGC